GTAACCTAATACTGTATAAACTAATCTAATGTGACCTAACCTAACCTATTTTGCATTTTAACTGATAGGGTTTTGTCCAGGAGGTTTTTGTATATATATATATATATATATATATATATATATATATATATATATATATATATATATATATATATATATATATATATATATATACAGGTATATATATATATATATATATTTTTTTTTTCCTTGGGGGCTTTTGTCCTTAGGGCCTTATGTCCTGATCCCGTGCTACCTTCATCGGTTCTTGCAATCTGGTTACGCTGGTCCGAGCCGCCTAGTTACATAAGGTAACAGATTTACTTTGTGTTATTCATTCTTTTCCAGTTAGTTTGGAAAATTATCCAGATTTAAAAGGTAAATGTATTCTGTACATATCTCAACGTGTGTGATGCTTGACAACACGCCTTGAGTTGACTATATCAGCTTGTGTGAAATCGCTACATGACACCAAGCCTGAGTGACTGACTCCCCAGCCTGAGTCTGTCTCATATTTTCCAGAAACAAAACCTCAGAGATATGTAGTAATCAAGAAAGTTGACAGTGGAAAGTTAACAGTGAGAGAGAGGAAATGTTAGACAGATTAAGGAGAGGGAGAGATGGAAGAGGGAAAGAGAAGGCAGAGAAGGGGAGGAGGAACGACAGAGAGAGAGATTTCCGGGAACTGCTCCCTCCCCCCTATCACCCCTACTGCTTGTTGGGGGACCTGCTACCTACCTACCTACCTACCCTACCTTACTATTGATTCCTCTTGCTATCACCCCCCATCCTCTCCCCACTGCCCAAATAGTCACCCCACACCGCTGCCAGGCCTTCCCCTTTTGATACTTCGGGGCTAGGCTATTGCCAGTTACTCAAGGCAACAACTGTTGGTGCTAAACTACTGCTTGATTACTGCTGATGGTACTGAACTACTGCTGGTGTTACTGGACTACTGCTGCTGATGGCAGTGAACTGCTGCTGGTGATGGTGATAGACTACTGCTGATAGTGCTGAACTACTGCTGGTGCTAGATTACTGCTGTTGGTGCTAGACTACTCTTGTTGGTACTAGACTACTGCTGGTGATGCTAGAATACTGCTGGTTGTGCTAGACTACTCCTAGTGGTGCTAGACTACTCCTAGTGGTGCTAGACTACTGTCGTTGATGCTGGATCACTATCTCTTTTGATTATTCGGACGGTCAAAGAAATCATCCTTTTTTTTCGGACTGGCAGGTAGTATCTATTTATTTACCATCAAGTATCCTAGAGCCTAGCAGGTTGAGAGGAGGGAGGAATATACAGTTGTGGACAAAATTTCCTGGACACTTGGCAGTGTCTGGCATATACAGTAGGTACTTGAGGATCATTAGGTGAAGGGGATTGGAATTTTCTGTGTTAAGGATTTTTGTCCCTTTTCTAGTTCCCCCATAATATGTGATGAAATGCAGCGTTATTAGATATAAAATAAATTTTGTCCGGAACTGTACTGTACATCTCTGGAGGGGGACCATTATGTACTGATATGACTGAATCTGAATAACGTTCGCGCACACTCGCTTTACGCACACGATGATAATTATTATGATAGACATAGTGGAAATTAATTATAGGGGATGTGACACTGAAGACAAACAGACCTTGTGTAAATCAAGAAATTAGGTAAAAACAGGGGGTTACGGTATCCTGTATCTTCTGTCGTGCTTAACCTGAAACATCGAACGACGACTTAAAACGTGTTCCTAGGGTGGGTGTCGTGCATTGGTAAGCTTGCTGCTCTCTCGCATGACAGTTATTATAATCGTATTCCATAACAATTCCTTATCTATTTCGTCCCTATGTATTTTTATATAATGTTATCTCGGTTGTGCTTAGAATATAAAATGGTTCTTTAGTACTACCAGGTAGTAGGTAGTAGGCAGCTACTAAACAGGGAAGTACTACCGCCTGGGAAGATATTGGAAGCATAATGTATTGTCTAATGGTAGACCCTGCTTCCATATGGCGTCACGAAAATTGTGACCAAGTCCCAGGCTGCTGACTGACTTTGTGCTTTATTTACACACAATTGCAGGGTCTCACTTGTTTCTCTTACTACTGACAACACAACATGCATATATCGTTTCTCACTTTTGATCTTTTTTTTTAGATTTTATTATTTTTTAGGATTCCTTATTATTATTATTATTATTATTATTATTATTATTATTATTATTATTATTATTATTATTATTATTTTATTTTTAGTATTGTATTTTTTTATAAATTTTAATTACAGCACTATGAATTTTTATTATTATTATTATTATTATTATTATTATTATTATTATTATTATTATTATTATTATTATTATTATTATAATTATAATTATTATAATTATTATTATAATTATTATAATTATTATTATTATTATTATTATTATTATTATTATTATTATTATTATTATTATAATTATTATATATTCGCCCCCCAGGCCCTGATGTGGGTCAGAGACCTGTGCCCTAGTGGGCTAATCCCCATAAAATATACGATTTTTTTTTCAGCAGACTGATAATATGGTTGCCCGAAACATAAGTAGAATGCCCTAAAAAAATTATTACCCTAGGCTTACAATATGATAAATTTATTCTTTACCTTAAACCTTTGAATAAACAACGGCGTATTTTCTCTTATATACACCTCCCTACAGGTTGCTAACTACATACAACAGCGGAAAAACTAACTAGCCAGTGACAATAAATATAAACCTACAGAAGCCAGCTTTTTATAATATTATTAATATTTTTTTTTTTATTTAATGTTGGCTACCGGAAAATGTGGGTCCCGTATTCGGCCGCACACTCTGAACACCCCTGAACTGTATAATGGGATACGGTATTTCTTTCGATGTATTATATAAAAGAAAAATGACTATCTGGTGCATATGTTAAAGTTAACACTCGTCACTTCAAATAAAAGCCTTTTTGCTTTATTTCAGCATAATCATGGTACAGTTTTACATTGATGCCGATATTAATGGTAAAAATATAACTACACTGTTGTCATACTGCTGTTGAATAACATGCTGCAAATATGTGTCACGCCGGTTGCTTCACGACCCTTTATCCACCTCACAACTGAGGACTTCGTCATACTAAAGAGCCACCGCATGCAGCGTTGCTTACACCCTTGTAGTGAACAAGGTCTTCTATAGCCCTCTGTAATGAAGGGCGATAATCGGTTCTCGCGTTTCTTTTGAGGTTTCGGCGAATATATTTTTGCCCTCCAGCCTGTGTGGGTGCTTGTCAACGAATCATGCGGTCGTAACGCATTTACCAAGTCATTTTCGATTTTTTTTTTTACGGTCATTAACCCACTCAGGCACAGGTCATTTTTAATGACCCACATCAAGGCCTTGGGGGCGAAAGTATAATAAAACAACAACAATAATAATAATAATAATAATAATAATAATAATAATAATAATAAAATTAATAAAAATAAATAACAATTATAACAGTTAATAAAAATTATAAATAATAATAATAATGAGCCATAAATAAATTTAGAAAAAATGAAAAAATATCAAGAGTGACAAATACTGTATGTATATTGCGTTGTCAAAGTAAGAGAAACAATTGAGACCCTGCAATTAAGTGTAAATGAGGCAGAAAGTCAGATCAGCAACCTTGGACTTGGTCACAATTTTCGTGATGCCATATAGCAGCAGGGTCTACCATTAGACAACACATTATGCTTCCAATATCTTCCCAGGCGGTAGTACCTCCCTGTTTGATAGCTGCCTACTACCTACTAACTATAAATTATTAAATCATTAAAACTTTGATATCGTATTCGTGTTCTATAACCCTTGACCAGTGGTTCCCAAACTATTTCACATGGCACCCCATTTGCTTTTTTTTTTACCAAACACTCTCGTCTCCATTACATTTTTAAAAGTAAATTTAATAAACTTTTGATAATTTTTCACCTTGTACTCGTACTTATATTAATTTCAAGAGCAACTAATCCTTAAATGGATTAGGGCGTGGTTACAGGACAGGAAACAGCGAGTGAGCATTAACGGCACTAAGTCCCATTGGAGCAACGTCACAAGTGGAGTTCCCCAAGGCTCAGTACTTGGACCATTATTGTTTATTATATACATAAACGACATAGATATCGGCATAGACAGCAACATAAGTAAATTTGCTGATGACACTAAAATAGGACGTGTTATCAAATCTGACGAGGACTCGGCAAAACTACAGGAAGATCTAAACAAATTTTTCGAATGGTCTGAAAAATGGCAGATGAAATTCAATGTGGACAAATGTAAAGTACTCAGTATAGGAGATGTAAACAGGGAAACCAGATACCAGATGAACAACGATGCCATAGAGAAATCCGACTGCGAGAGAGATTTAGGAGTAATGATAAGTAGGAACCTTAAGCCAAGTAAACAATGTGTTTTTGCTCGTAACAAGGCTAATAAAGTACTTGGGTTCATACAAAGGAGTGTTAGTTACAAGACTAGCGAGGTCATCCTAAAACTGTATCTTGCTCTTGTGAGACCACACCTGGATTACGCAGTTCAGTTCTGGTCACCGTATTACAGAATGGATATAGAATCCTTGGAAAGAATTCAGAGGAGAATGACAAGACTAATCCCGGGCATTAGGAACCTTGAGTATAGAGACAGGTTAAAGCATCTTAATTTGCACTCCTCGAGAGACGTAGAGCGAGGGGCGACCTGATAGAGGTGTATAAGTGGAAGACAGGGCTAAACAAAGGGGACATTACAAAGGTACTCAAATTATCCAACCAGGTGCGAACTCGTAACAATGGTTTTAAATTGGACAAATTTAGATTTAGGCGTGAAATAGGTAAACACTGGTTTGGAAACAGAGTGGTGGATGAATGGAACAAGTTACCAAATATCATCATTAACTCGAATACGCTGAATTGCTTCAAACATAGGTTGGATGCTCATATGAGCAATAGGGGTTGGGTGTAAACGGGACTGCCCAGTATGGGCCAATAGGCCCGCTGCAGTTTCCTCCATTCTTATGTTCTTATGTTCTTATGTTCATGTATCGTGCTTATGGGGAATATTGAATTATAATAAGGAAAAAATCATGGTGCAAAATTAATATTGAAAATGTACAAATAGAAAAAGAATGTCAATATGCTGTAAATGTTTTTCACGTGGCATACGCTCCCCCACCCCCCCTCGTGCCAACCTGGCGTCCCCCAGTTTGGGAACCACTGCCCTACTAGACCATCAATATTATTTCACAGTCGTCCGCTTAGTAACGAAGAATATGTATGAATTTCGGTATATTACCCTCAACAAAATAATTATATCCTAATAATATCTTATTGGTAACAGATAAACAAATTAATAACATCGACACTGTCATAAGGCAAAAAAAAATATGGAAACAGCATATTCACAATTTATTTCAGTTAACCCTTGTACTTATTAATGTTTTGTTTGTTTTTTCTTTATACGGTACCATATTTATGATATGGCAACTTTGAAGCATTTGAGGTGAATGTGGGGTAGATGATTAGTGGGTCTCATGTTTTTGACTTGACTTTACCGGACAGGATTCTTTAACACGAGATAAGGTTTCTCAAGTTTTAAAATGCAGACAAAGTTACCTTGCTTGTTCTTACAATACTAAAAATTATTACTAAATCCTGACTTAGGCATACTTTAATACATTTATTTACTGTGTACAATTTGCTAAAGAATGTGATGACAGTTGTACGATGTGACTGGGGATTCCCAAGTTAGGCTTAGGTCTGCATTTTATACCCAGAGAAACCTTATCTCGTGCTAAAGAATCCTTTCTTTGTCCTTGCCTACTTTAACTCTTTATACTACAGTATATGGGTTTCCCTCTGAGCTGAATAAAATCGTCCGGCATAGCCAAATAAAATATTAAAAGTGGTGTTCCTCATCTTCATTTTCAAAGTCTTCCTTACCTTTGCTGTTTGCTTGAAGTCCTAGACAAGAGCAAAATTGTGCAAGGGGGAATTGGTTTTTCTCACAGTCACAAGATATTGTATTGGATAAAGATATTTAATATCCCAGTGGTGACACCCCTAAGCTGTTTTAACTTGTCTTTCTAATTTACAGTAGGGTTCACATATTTTTTTTTTTAATTTCTGCATCAAAATGATTTTTCCTTTGCATTAGTCAGTTCAATATATTGTAGTGTATAACTTTCCTGACTTAACTAATGGATTTTTTTGTACACAACAATTGATTTTTTTTAATAGCAGTTTAATACTGTACAGTAAAACCAGTGACCTGTTCTTGTCACCCTTGTAGTTTTCTGCTGGAAAATTACTCTTATTTTTATGCATTCATCATATAAGAGTACTGTACAGTATAGTATAGTGCATGACAGTGAGTAAATGGTGCACTTACTAATGCTTGATCATTTTTCAGGTGCAGCCAACATGCTGACGTGTCCCAACTGCCACCATGTGTTGGCGGCCCACTCCTGCTGCGGAATGACCTTAATGCCACCAGCCATGCACTGCCCGATACCCACAGCACCCAGTGTGTCCCTGGCGACTCCATCTCCTGGGACCCTCATTATGGGCCCCTCTCTAGGGGCCGTTCCATTCAACGCCAGTGCCACGCAGCAACCATCACCACTGGCCACCCCGCATGTCAGTGGACATATGTTCCACTTTCCATCACTTCACATGCCAAGTCCTGTAGTTTGTCACAGTTCCTGCCATATGGCGTGTCATGCAACAATGCACTCACACTGTGTAGGCACCTGCCGAGGAGCATGCAATGGAGCTTGGAGGTGGCCAGATAGTGGAGGTCAGATACCAGCTCAGACGTTAACTACACGTATGCACACATCAGGTGGGGGCATAGTTGATGAGAGTGCAGGAGTTAAGACAACACTGAGGGACATGCGAGACAGTTTCAGCTGTGTAAGAGATTGGGATGAAGATCATGTGTTGAGTGCAACGCGACAGGCTCTGGCAAAGAGTGGATGGTACTGGGAGCGATTGTCTTGGCGTCAAGCAGAAACACTCTTGCAAAGTACCAGTTTAGGTACTTTCATTGTTCGGGACTCGGCAGATACTAGATTTCTTTACTCACTAAGTGTGCAGACAGAACGGGGACCCACCAGTGTTAGAATCCACTATACTGGGGGTAAGTTTCGCCTCGACTGTGAGTCACACATGACATCAACAGTCCCTGAGTTCTCCCACGTTATCACCCTTATTGAACATTACATCCGCATAAATCGAAAGTTACAACGGCATGTGTGGGTAGATGCTGAGGGTAAGGTGTATTCGCCTATCACCATAAGGCAGCCTCTCAAACGAACTGTACCATCACTCAAACATTTATGTCGTTTATCAATTAATCAGTCATTTCACCGCTCTTGTAGCACTGTGTTCCTCCCTCCAACTTTGTCTGAGTATATTAATGAGTACCCATTTTGGTGCTAATAATGAAAGAGAACTTTCAGCAAGTTCTCCCATTGACTTTCTTAACAAGTGCTCACAAATTGCATGCCAATCTGTCAAGGCTTTGAGTGCTAATGGTGTTAACCAAAGCATGTAGTGTTAAAGTTTGAGTCCCAGATTAGTTACCTTTGTACCCTTGCAGCAAAACCACATAAACCACAGTACGTAATAAGTTGAACAAAAGGTAAACACAAAAATTTTATTCATGGTTTAACTGGTGGTCCCATTGTAATGGACCCCCACAGGAGTACTTGTTTGGGTAATCATCACAATGAAGCTAAAGGTGATAACAGAAAACTATCATAGAACCAATGGTACCTAAGGTTTTTCATCCCAGTGGGGCACTTGATTGTTAGAGTTAATTACTATCATAGCTGCAAGTGAACACCAGGCATGCAGCTAGCGGGTGCTACACAGCTGGTGCTTGTAGCAGTTACTAATGATCAAGTGGCCAATGATCACTACATTATCTCAGTTTCAAAACCATTCAATTTTTAGCTGAGATTATAGCTAAACTTATAGGAAACTATTTATAATTTACACTAACTAAACTTGTCACATATGCTAAGGTTTACTACAGTCTGCATCTGTGTGTAAATTGTCATTAGTTTAGTGACTATTCACAATATTCAGGGATTTGGAATGTTTATAAACCAATGATCTGAGAGGAGATTTTTCTTTCCAATAATATTAGGGTAGATATGTCTTCACAAGGCACTGTATGAGCTTCCAAGTAAAGTTAATTGGAATCTGTATAATTATTATGTATTATTGGAAGAACTGAAATTCAGTTATGCTGATGATTATAATTGACATTGTGTGATAATTGAAGTTTTTTGATGAGCTTTTCTCAGTTTACCAATTTTTTTTAATTATGTTACAGGGGTATTAAACTGAATAGCATGTTGTGCTCTACATAAACAAAAATTTATTCTGGCTATGTATGACCAAATAATGTGTAGGATACCTTCTGTCCAGGACACATGATGGTGTGCATATTAAGTTAATTAGAGGATTTGTTTTACATATGGTAATGTAATTATCTTCATTCAGCAACATATATTTCCAATGAATAATTATCTAAAGTAGTTACCCATTACCTCTTATATATAATTTTTTCTTGAATTAATGTGATACAGTGGTTGATATAATTGACAGTTATGGATACAGTATGCAGTATCAGGTATTCTCTTCATATCTCGGTTTGTTTTGTAATTATAAGGAAGCATTAAAAGTAACTCCAGTGTCGTCCTACAATTAAGTTCTTCACAGAAGAAGGACTTACCGGTAACATCTCTTTGGTCTTGTCTTAATGTAAATAAAGTCTCTTAATTACTCATAACTTCTATTCATACTCTTCTAATGTTTCTTTCAGTACAAATTATAAGTTGAATATTTTTATTTATTTATTTTTATTTTTGTATTTATTTTTTATTTTTTGACGGACCTGTTGATAGTAGCCACAGACATGCAGTACAGCAGAGAACTACACCCTTATGGATTTATTTTCTTATGGCAGTTCTTGTATAGAGGGGGGGGGAGGTAATTAAGAATAATGTACCTATATTGGTTTATAATGTTTCTTTGCATTTACTTATTTATGAATTTTAATATGAAAAATGTTCAAATTGTTTGTTTTAATTTAGAGGAGTCTTTCCTCCTTTAATGCTTCCATTTACAAGCTTGTAGATAGTTCTTTGTAAAGTGTTTTAAGTTACAATACCTGTGTAAATATGCAGACTTCCTATGGACTGAACATATCCTTTTTTTTTCTCCAAATATACTGTATAATGGCAATGGCCAAAAGTAATAACATTTTAGGGTGTTTTACAATTTCTAGAAAACTTCTTAAAAGGCATTGCTAAATACACTCATATTTGTTATTTTTCAATATTATATGTGAATCTCATATAGGCTTAGATAAACTAAATCAATTTGCATCCATTTATGAGGTGCCAAATCAAAGAGAATTTAGTTTTCATATAACCAATGATATGTCGTACGTCCCTCTGTGTAGCACTTTAGGTACGTTTCCCTCTCTGTACAGTGTATTAGGGTAGTTGAGCTGTAAATATAATCCAACCTTCTTTTATTGTAAGATAATCAGTATCATGTTATGCTTTTTATATTTATCTGTATTTTTGTAGATTTCGAGTTTACTTAGTAATCTGTGAGCACATTATGGAAGGAGGGACCAGACTGTCCATGGTAGAGAACTTGGCCAGGCATAAAGCAGCAGCTGCCTCTAGAACCATTCTTGTTATTTATACAGGGTTATGTAAATACTAATTTAATTTGCCTATGAATAAACTCTTCCATTTTTACATAATGATATTGATAAAATAATTATTGCTAGATATAACCTCTTGCAGTAATTGTGACGCTAATCACACACCTGCCTAGGTCAGGTAAACCATTAACCAGTATTAATGCCACTCTGGGATCAGTAACAATATCACCAGTTTACAATTATTAGGAAGATGAAATGATGTTTGTTTCGTTTTCATTAGTGAGAAATATCAGTTTTTAATTAAACAAGTGGAAATTTACTTTTAAAAATATTGTTTAGAAAAGTGGGTTGCAAACATATCTCACTAAAAAGTTATGAACAAATAAGCCATAATTTAAGTGAGGTTCAACAGGTAAAATTGGATTATGAAATTGTCAATTGATATTTACAACATTACTGTGTATCGCCAGTAAAGAAAATCTCAATATAGTTGAGTATTGAATTTCAAACTTGTTAGCTTTTCTTTACCAGTGTTGCACATTAGAATCGTGTGTGTGTATATATTCTTATTTCATCTAAGAGAAGATAAGTGTTTAATTGACAAAAACAGATATTTTTAGATTAATTTTGAACGATGGATTAGTCCCCCAAAAAATTTACTGGAAGACTGGGAGAATAAATTTTGTATATGGTACTATTATTTGTATATTATCTCCAAGAACAAACCAGTCTACTTTTCATGTGGTACAATGACAGTCATTTTATCTTCCTGGGATTGTTATTGATGCAGAGAAATTATGATGTTAAACTTTTTCTTTCCCATAGAGTACAGACCCTAGGAGAGAGTAACCCCACACCTCAACACAGACCTGCACTCGCATAGAACCTCAATTTATAGTAAACCATCATCATTTATGTTAACCATTTACTTAGGGGTCATGTAACCCCCTACAACCATTTCTTTAAGTCATGTAAGTCCCTACAACCATTTCTTTAAGTCATGTAAGTCCCTACAACCATTTCTGTAAGTCATGCAAATCCTTACAACCATTTCTTTAAGTCATGTAAGCCCCTACAACCATTTCCGTAAGTCATGAAAATCCTTACAATCATTTCTGTAAGTCATGTAAGCCCCTACAACCATTTCTGTAAGTTATGAATATCTCTACAACCATCTCTGTAAGTTATCAACATCCCTACAACCATTTCTGTAAGTCATGTAAATCCCTACAACCATTTATGTAGGTCATGAAAATCCTTATAACCATTTATGTAAGTCATGAAAATCCCTACAACTAGTTCTGTAAGTCATGGGAATCCCTACATCTTTCGCTTCGAGTAGCCTGAAATTCTGGTAGACTCATAAACCTCAGCTAATGGTAAAAATTTTCAACTGTTCCTTGGTCTCTGTTAGTGTCACACATCTGAACATCATAACGAAATGAAACAGTAGAGAGAACTTAGTGTAACCAGTTGTAGATTAGCAGCTATGATGCCACACAATCCAACAACTGTGTATGGGTAGGAAACATCTACCCTCTCCTCCCTCTTCTGGGTAAGGCTTCATATTCACATGTAGTTAGTTGTTTATTAATTTATTATGAAGAAAATGCCTTGATTTTTTTTTTGTACCTTAAAGTGCTCCCATAATGACTTTGAAGTACTGTAGTATATCTTCCAAATAGAGTATTTCAATAGTCCTGATATTTAATCCTGTGTGACGTGTACTTTTTACGCAATATATGATTAACAGGTATCTACTGTATTTTTATACTGTCTTGTTTCACAATAAAGTATATTGATGTAATTTACCACATAAACTTTGTGATGAAGCTTTACCCAAGGCTAACAGGTGCTGCAGAAGATCACTGTGGTACGTAGTGTAGTTCTTACGAAAAGCAACTTTAATATTGGAATTATTACTGCTCTTCTGATTTATGATTGGTTAAAAGTGTACCAAATGAAATGGAATAAAACTTTTAATAAATAAGTATGTCAAGTACACTATTGCAATAAAGAGATATTATGGTATGCTAATTACAGTGATCTTTGCACACTTGACTCTTATGGTGCAGAATCTTACTATGGTGCATAAAGTGCATTTGGTGGTGTTTACACTGATAGATCATAATACTCGTGATAACTAACGTCTTTATTACTTTACATGTAATTAACAATCTAGAACTGTCTGTAAGGAAGCATTTTTGTTTCGCTATACAATAATTGTATTTTGAAACTTTTATAATTGAAAAGTTCTTTAGCCCTTCTATAATATTTATTTTGAATTTGTTGTATGACTCCTGAGTAGTTCCAGTATAGTGTTTTCTTGTAAATTATCTCTTGTGTTCTTTATAAAAAAATGAAAGTTACAGATGATTTGGCCAACTAGCACTGCAGAAGAAAACTTACTTTGACAAAACTAATAGTACAATTAAGTAGGTTTTATTTTGTGGTAAAAGATATTCTTCAAAAATATAATCACAGTTTCCCCTCAAATTTCATATTTTGTGATTGACTCTTACCCAGAACTTAGTATGAATTAGAAATGTATGTTTGCTACTAAGTATACAAGGCAAATAGTAAAGTCAATTATTTTACTTCCGACACATCTTTGATTATTTTTAACATACAGGTACTGTACTACAGTAACGTGTTTATGTACAAGTGTTCTGCTATTGGTGATGGTCATGATGGTGATTAGTTGCTAGTAATTCACACTTGGTGTTAGGTCTTTGAACAATGGGCTCAAAGTGAGGCTGACATAAGTAATGAAGTACAGTGTAGTCTGCATTTACGCGGTCAATTCAACCCGTGGAGGCCCGCGTAAAATGAGAAACGTGTAAATGAAATAACAGAACATATGGGATTAATTAAAATAGAGACTGGGCCGACCCCCAAACTCCACTTTTTGCCGACACAATACGTACGTTGTAGTAAAAATAGTATCTTAACTTTATGATGGTATGCACACACACATAATATATTAGATAAATATCAATAAGAGAATAATATACTGTACCAGGTAAAAGAAAAATCAAGGTTTAACACTTATGTTAGGTTAGAAAAAATCAAGATTTAACACTTACGTTAGGTTAGGTTAGAAAAGATCAAGGTTTAACACTTACGTTAGGTTAGGTTAGGTTAGGTTTAACACTTACGTTAGTAGACGAGATGGGTCGGCATACGTTCATTGGGGCTGGTTCCGAGGCAGAGGGCAGATTACTGGCCCTCAGGTGAATCACCATCACTATCCACCACAGTTGTGAGGGCCTCCCTGACAAATCCCTCAAAGTCAACATCACTGTCACTATCACTGGCTTCGGCTGGCTGTGGTGGGTTGCAGGCAAAGAAGTCTGTGATGTTACGCTGATGGCTAGTGCTGATGTGTTTGTGATACATCTTGATGTACGGCTCCATAGTCTGCAACAACTGGTTATAGAAGACTTCATAGCGGTGATCGTCAGGGTCGTTGGAAAGGACGAGCTTGAGTTTCTCTGCAAACTTGATGGCATCCTTTACATTACCATGTGTTAACTTATGTTCTTCTCGGGCTGCCGCACCACCTGCATCTTCACTGACGTCATCGTCTTCCAACATCTCGTCGGCAGTCACCTCAGGATCCCTGATCACTTCCATAATGTCTTCGTTGGTGGTCTCGGAGAAGCCTGCAGCTGTAACACTCTGTGCAGCTTCTCTTGCAAGGTCCACTGCCACTGCAACAGACTGAACCTCACCAGTCACAGGTTGAATCTGCCTCCCACCTGGGATACCTTGCAACACATGCCGCCACGCATGACGAATCGTTGCCACAGACAGCTGCCCCCATGCATCCACCAAGAAATCAACAGCTTTCTTGACGTTGAATTTCTTCCAAAACTGTTTGACGCGAACTTCTTGCTACGCCAACTCTTCTTTCTCGTCGGTCTTGCTATCGGTGTCACCCAGGTTACGCAACTCATCCTTGGTGTTGGTGCAGTCGTTCAGGAGCTTAAACTTCTTTGCAGAAAATGCAGCCTTAACGTTGCATATCAACTCCTGGTCCATGGGCTGGATTAACGACGTAGTGTTGGGAGGAAGGAAGACCACTTTTACTGGGGTGACGGTCCAACAGTAGGGGCGAGTGTCCTGGTGCGTTGTCAAGGAGCAACAAAATGTTGAATGGAACATTCTGTTGCTCGCAGAATTTCTTGACGTCGGGAACGAAACAGTTATCAAACCAGGAGAGGGACAGAGCAGTGAACATCCACGCCTTGCGTGCGGTTAGCCAGTGGACATTTAGCTTGGTCATGTCCATGTTCTTGTAAGCGTGCCGCTTGCGAGCTGTGTGGATCACCGATTACTTGAGCTTACAGGTACCGGAGGCATTGGTGGTAAACAAAACGGTGATGCGCTCCTTTTGCAATTTCCGGCCCCGACACTTGCTGGCAGACTTGACAACGAAGGTCTTGGTAGGTAGCTTTTTCCAAAACAGACCGGATTCATCCATGTTGAACACCTGGTCGTCGGTGTACTGTCCTTCCTTCATAATGTCACGTAAGAATGGAGGAAAATCACTCGTTGCAACACGGTCAGCACTCACTCCTTCACCAACAATGTTAATGTTGGTGATCCTGTTCCGTTTCTTAAACCCTTGCAGCCACCCAGAGGAAGCAGTGAAGGGTTTGGGCTCTGCAATTCCCATCTTACGTGCCACTACTATGTACAGTTCACGTGCTTAGTCCTGAACTGATCGCATGTCCATCGCCATATTCCGTCTTGCCTAACGAATCAAGTAGCTCACCAACAAATTCTCAATCTTGAGCAGCACCTTGTTCTGGCAGTACTTCACCATTGAAGCACCTGCAGACTTTGTGATGCTCATGTGTTCTTTTATCTTGGCGGCATCCTTCTTGATCGTCCGGATCGTAGATTCGTTCACGCTATGCTGGCGCGCCAAATCATCTTGCCTCGTTCCTTTTTCTAACTCTTGTACGATCTTGTACTTAACTTCGTAACTAGGGGCACATTGTGTCTTCTTTGGCTTGGAGCGGCTGGGTCCAGGTAATGCAAAGTTTTTCTGTGGTGGTGGGGGTCCAGCGGATGCCATTCTTACGAGATTAGCCGGAACAATAGAACACAGTATACACGGGGTGACTGGGAACAGGGTGACTGACGCGGGTAGCGGCTCCTTCTCTGTGGTGGCAGGGCACGTCATATTACATTGAACCAATCACAGCTAGTGGGGGAGGGAGGTAAGGATGCGTGGCCCAATCACAGTCCAATACGTCATATGACGTCACCGATAACGCAACAGCGACATACTGCGCAACCTTACTCTCGCCACTTGTGGTCAAGGATGGCGGGTCGCTTGAATCCAAAATGGCGCGGCACGTCTGGACCCTCCAGCGACTCGCTGCGTAAATGACCAAATTTGCCGCGTAATTAAAGCATTTCAATTCTGGCAAGGCACCGCGTAAATGACCAAACGCGTTAACCAAAACTGCGTAAATCCAGACTATACTGAAGTACAGATTTAAGTAATTTCATGTAGGTTGGAAAATTTATGTATGAAACAAATTTCAGATTTCAAACTGAAGAAGTGTGCAGTCTAAGTCTGAAACACTTGAAAGACTCCAGATGCTGAGATGCCTGGAAACTATTTGATGTCAGTAGATGTTCATCTGTCCATGGCTGGTGATGAGAAATTAATTAAGAACTATAGAGAGGAAAGAGCATATAATTGTACTCAAATGACATTACGGTACACCAATGAGATAGAACCATACCATAGTTTAACTAGAAATAGCTTTTTAAACGATTTTTGTCAGGTAAAATCTTTATGAGAGAAGAATCTTATGTCTTTGCATAATACACATCTCAAAATATTCCAAAAACTGTACAGTCCCGTCTATTTAACTGATTGTATTATATTCTATGTACTGTAGTTATTTATTTCATGTTATGCAAAATAGATTGGTCGGAGATGCAGTGAATCTCATCACATGATGGTCACTGCAATTGATCTGATGGGTATGTGGGTCACCTAGAATTCATCTCCTTTGGGTTACCACCATATTTACCTGAAAAAACTTTTACTAATATAATATCAATATATACGTACAAACAAGCTAGCGCATGATTATCAATAGCAGATAGCATGCAGACGCCTTCATCATATTTCAAGACTTCCCTTACCTAGTTTTTTAATTTTCAGAAGTGATCCTATAAGTTGAAGTACTATACTATTGAGTAATAGGGAATTAATTCTTGCCTTTCTTTTATATATACTCGTATACAGTATATATCTCTGTTTTTTAGCAAGTCTTTTTAACTATTAACCTGGAAGAGGCTGATTTTTCTCCTTATTGATATTTTGATAAAACCAGATGCATTTAGCTGTTGTTCAGTGGTATTTTTCTTTTGATACCAGTTTCAAGAACAGTAATTTTTTATGATTTGTGGGTGCTGAATATTTCAATTTTGCTTGAGAATTTTATCTCTTTGGTGTTTCATGTACAACTGGGCATTATATGTAGGACTTCCAAGTGCTAGCTTGGAATTCCTACATATAATGTCCCATTCTTAGCTCTGCAAAAGTGAACTGGCAGTAGGAAGGGCTGTAAAACTTGCTCCAAATTTGCTTGATGGTAACCAAGATAGCCATACCATCAAGTAATTATGGCTAACTCTGGCAAGCATGGAAAATGGCCATATAACGGTGAAGATATATGATGACGTAAGCTACAGACCATCTTCACAGCACCAACATGAAAGTACCAGTTAGAGCACTTCTCAAACAATACTGCATGATGGTTTAAAAATTACAGTACTACATGAGTAAAGCATTTGATAGGTGCTTACTCTCCATGATAAGAATGTGTAAAGGGAATTTAGAAATTCTTAATAAGCATACATATGTTAAAAAGTAGAGGGAAGGTTAGGTTAGCTGGCATCTTATCAGGTCATGTTAGATTAGATATAGGAAAAGAAACACATATGGAGAGACAAATATAAAAGTAATGATAAAAAGTGTGAGAAGGATAAATCATTCCATCCCCCTGTGGCAGTGCTTCTGTGAGTGATCCAGGCTGACAAATCTACTACCTGGTAATGGGTCATTGAGAATAAGTGTTAATATGATGTTCTAAAAGTTTCCACTAAATCTCACTTCTCAAGGTAAAAATCTGGAAGTCATTGGATTGATGACTGCCAGAGCATATCCTGATAGTTGGGAGCTTTGATTGATGGTTCATTAGTAATACGTACTATGTAATTCTAAACATCAATTACCTGCACTGTATGACGTAAATGTAGTTTTAATATCATATACAATCTATAGTACTGTATTTGTAGGATTTTTTTAAGTTTTAAAAATTTGAGGTAATATTTGTCCTACTAACACTTACCTTTTGGCATGAAAACTGCCAACAACCCATGGGTAAATTGATGTTACTTTTAATTATTAGCTACAGGTACTGTTTTTTATTCAAAATTATTCATTAACCTTAGAACCCTGTACTTAAATTATTTCTGAATATTCAAACACAAATAGTCATTGGTTCAGTTGCAGAAATGTGTTCCTGCACCCTCTGTGGTAACCCGTGTCTCCAAACGACCAACGTATATGACCTATAGCATACCTATCCACCAATCACATCCGTCATTACACTACCAATACCAATTCATTCATAAATAGTGATAGTACTACTACAACGGTGCCATTTGGAGACCCGGATTACCACAGGGGGCATGAGAACACATTTCCGCAACTGTACCTGTCAGGCACTCCATAAACACTGCAGTACTTCTCATGTACTCTATACTACCTGTCATGCACTACATACACACTACCTATCATATACTACATACACTACCTGTCATGCACTACCTATCATGTACTGCAT